TACAATAACTGCTTTGGGTGAAAGTGATTTAATGTTTAAGAGCCCAAACTTTAAAAAAATTTTTTGTTAATTTATTTTACATTTTTCTGGTTTAATCACGATCAGATTTTTTCTAGATCCTGCATTAAATTTATATATTTTGACCTCACTATTCGGGGAACAGACACAGTCTTTATAGATTGTACAGCGCAAGTACTTCTATCATTTAAGCGGGTAGAACACAAGTCATCAGGGCAGTTATTTGAGATTTTAGCGCGAAAAAGCCTAGGACGCTCCCAGAAAAGATTCCAGTTATTAACAAAGAGCAGTTTCTGTTCTTTACACCATGACAATAACCATTCATTTAAAGCAAAAAGCCTACTGAACTTTTCGTGTCCTCGTCGATACGTGGGAAGCAGTCCTGACACGATGATCGTCGTCGTGGCGATGTGCGGTGCACCGTCTCGATCAGGCTCCTGAAGTCTCTCTTCAGTGTCTCTGTCTGCCGCAGCTTGGTGTCGTTAACCCCCGCGTGAAGCACGACCGCTCCGGTGCTCTCGTCGCCCTTCAGGATCGCGGGTATCTGCGCAAAAACATCGAGAACACGAGCACCAGGGAAACAGTGAGCGTGCACTTTACCTTCAGATAACGTAGCGTGGACGTGCCGGACGATGGAGGCTCCGATGATCACAGCGTCACGTTCCGTCTCGCGGAGGGGAGCGAAGCGGTTCCGGGTGGAGATCTCGAAGACCGGAGGCGGCGGAGGGGGAGAGGTCGTCGCCCGGGGCCTGGCTCGCGTCTTTCGGCGGCACCGCGCAGGAGTGAAGGACATCTGGGAAGATCGCGTCCTGGGTGCACCAGTCCTGTGCAGAGAAACACACGGAGGGTGGGAGAATTAGCAGCGCGCTGTATACTTACCTCGGACTTGTGAGCGTCAGCCTGGGATGATTCCAGCCTCTCAGCTGGGTCTGCCTCTCCACCAGGTCGCGGATCTGCTTCTCCACGGCCTCCAGCTCGAGCTGCATTCGGTCCTGCAACGTGTCCTCACCTGCAGTCAAAGGTAGACACACATTCGCCATTAAAGCAAGTAACAGTGAGTAAAACAATGGTAATGTGTGTGAATAGAGTATTAGTAATGTAAGTGAGATTAGCGGCAACCACGCTGGCGATGCTAGCGGGCTATTTGCTAATAGCGGACTCGGGAAATCAAAATAAAACTAGTGATAACAAGGCGCTCTGATTGTTTTTGTTGTAGAATACGATAGGGGATATATTCACACGTTATAGAAACTAAAATGATGGTGTATAAAATTGATTTTAAGATAAAAATTTAGACGACAAAGAATTACCTTGACGGAGCTCAAACTCAATTGAAACGCATGTGCATGAGCTGTCTGATGACCTGTTGCCCTGACCACTGTCAGAACTTGAAGAACACGTGTTGATGTGTTGTCCACAGAAGAAGTGTTGTCCACGATCCTGTAACCTCCTAGGACTTTGATCACGATAGCCCTCATGTCTGCGTGCTTCATAGTAGTCCCTCTTGCCACTTGTGTCTCTGTATGAAGGTCTACTATGTTCTTAGAAAGAGTCACAGTCAGTATATGAATGTCTGTCATACCCACAGCATTCAGATGTACGCCCTCGTGAATCCTCCGGGCTAAGGCTGTGCCATTGACTATTCGCTGAAGTGTGTCTGTTGACCTCGAGCTGAAGTTATTCCACTCTCTGGAGAAAATCTTCTTTCCCATCCCCCAAAAAGATGGGCAGAAAATTTCCATTAAAACACTGCACAACATGTGAACTACTCTTGCCAGGCAAATCGCGTGCTGAATCCGCTTGACTCATGTTACAAAACAGTTCAGTTCTCTCGCTGTATCGCACAGTAACAAAATATCCCGAAAACTCCAGAAAACTAGGATTACCGTTCTACTGGTCTGTTTTAAATTCGCATTCCAAACATCTGTAATCTAACGCTGCTGTCCAATAGAGACAGAGCGCATTTAGGCCACGCCCACACCGGGGGGGGGACAATCCAACCCTCTCCATTGACTTTGCATTGCGGGAAGCTGCTTCCTTGTCATTTCTGATTTATAACAAAAAAACAGAACAATGCCTAAAAGCTGCTGTGTGACAAGGTGTACAGCAAACAAGCTAAAAAACCCAGAACTACGTTTTTATAAGCTACCGAACCATGAAAGCCTTTGACATAGTTAAAAATAAAAAAGCTGGGTCGGCTTGGTTTTCAGATTATGACGCGTGATGCTCTGTCTCTATATTCACGAACAAAATTGTCCATGGTTGAAACACAAAGCAAAATATACGTCGTGGAGAAAAGACGGCTGAAATCTTGAACTCGATTTCGTTGTCCGCCGCCGGGATGCCGCATCAATCTATGGAAAGCCATATGGGTCATAATTCGCACGCTTTCCACCGCCGTATCGATATTAAAACGCCGTTTTCATAACACCGCCAGGCGTTAAATAAGCGCCGTTAGGCGATAAGTTAACGGCAGACGCACCACGCGTTAAAATAACGCCACACGCCGACCGACGTTAAGTTAACGCCACACGCCACTTAAGATGCAGATTTATTTGCTCATCTACATGGACACACCTCTCATGGCTACAAGGACTCTACGGCAAGTCGGAGCATCCAGTTTGCAAGAGCGCGAAGATGGCAAGTACAGCCCTTACAATTCTAGATGCAGGGGGAAAATGCCCCTGAATGAGCTTTTGTCTCATAAAGTTATCACACGAGTCATGAATGAGTGCAAATTTGGAAATAATTTTATACAACAGTTAAATAAATAAGAAATGTTATGGTAAGTCTTATGGTATATTGCAAAATATATTTATAATCAGTTGTGAAAATGGACAAAATTCACTGGGGGACCCTAGCTTGGAATCAGGTGGTGGGGGGGTTAATGGTAATAAAAGGTAAAATAATAAATAAATATATATTATATTTATATAAAATATAAAATGTATATTTTATATAAATATAATATTTAATAATATATATTTATTTATTATTTTACCTTTTATTACAGGTAAATTTTTATTTTTTAAAACTTTTATTTTACCCCCCCCCCCCCCCCCCTGGCGGTGGAAAGCGTGCGAATTATGACCCATATGGCTTTCCATATCAATCGCATTAAATACCCGCCGAAGAGAAAGTTCACTCACACACCATGTGCATCGTCCAAACCCGCTGCCACCAGAAATGTAAGAGGGTCTATAAACCATCAAAGGATTCTCCAGTCTCTTGTAAATGGGTCCACGAGAATAATGCAGGCAGTACACAAAGATATGAAACGTTTCTGACTTTTATTGGACTTATATAACACCATGCGCTGCAGCTTATCACACACTGCACTTTTATTTGTCAGCCTATCTCTTTCTTTCAGTAGCGGAAATTTAAATGTGAGATTCTGGAAATGAGATCTAAATTTAGCGGGTAAGGTCGGGTCAGGAAGAAAATTATTCTAAGCAGACAGCGGGTGAACAAAGACTGAATATATAGCGGGAGCGGGTGGGTGCGGAATAGAACCTTGCGGGAGCGGGACGTAAAAAACAGTCCCATGCAGACCTCTACTGTGCATGCTTGACCCACGCATCCAAAACCTACGCATACGTCAGTGCGTCAAATCCTAATAAAAATAACAAAATTAACTCACTTTACATAAAGACAAAATAACCATACAAAAATAAATCTCACGTTAGTGTCAACAGTTAGTCCCTGCTGGTAGATGCTGTAACTACCCCATTATGCATGCAAAAGTATTTTTTTTTCAAATGATTGCCACTGAAAATTAATCATGAATTCTGATCAAGTTAAATTTAGGAAGCAATAAATAAATCATAAATACTGAATTATCTTACGGTAGATGTTTTATTGATGATGGATTCAAGGAGTCTGAAATGAGACATGGACTTTTTTTAAGGACAAAATGGGTCTTTCTCAAAACAAATACATCTATGGAGTAACATCTGTGTTTGACTTACTCACAAATCTTATAACTGTATTAAACACTCAAATCGCATAGTAAAAGCATTATAAGAGGCTTTGGGACGTCCTAAAAAAATTCCACCTACCCTTGCTCCAGCTGTCACTTGAAAGCTGGTAGTATTCGCCTGTCACCTCTACAGACAGTCAGTGTAGTATAAAGGGCATGAAAGGAAAGATAAAGGGGGGTAGAAGAGAGAATGGAACGTGTTAGATCTTTAAATGACTTGAGCTACCATCTAGTCAGCAAGGGTCCGTGTGACGTGCTGGTAAATTGCTGGGAGAGAGGGTCACAATCCAAAAGAGGGAAGGAACACTCTATTGCCCTCTCTTGTATAAACAGACCCTGGTACTGGACTAATACTACATGATCCCGAGAAGGCTAAAAGATTAAGCTGCAGTTAATGAAGATATCCAGAGGCATTGTGTTGGGGTAAAACATTTCTAACATTTTACTGTTAATTGGATTTTGGTACAAGGAGCTATGACGTAGGGCTTAATTTGCCTTGTAATTTACAGTTCCATATTCTAGTGTACATGAAATTTAAATTTAGAACAATATTTCTTTCAATATGTACAACAAATTATTATTGTTATATTAAATTTTCATTAAATCTAGATGTATTTTAATGTTATGTGCACATTAATAATTAATAATAATAAGAATTTATGCATTTAGCAGACGCTTTTATCCAAAGCGACATACATTGCATTCAGGCTATACATTTTTTACCAGTATGTGTGTTCCCTGGGAATCAAACCTACGATCTTTTGGGCTGCTAACGCAATGCTCTACCACTGAGCCACAGGAAAATATAAACTTATATAAGTTTTTGATCAGACAGTCTGCAATTAAATATTTTTAATAATTGCTCAATTTCAAAATACCATTGCTTTGAATTATTTTTGCAGATTACAGACAAGTTTTATCATGACAGCCTGTAACAAATTGGGGAATATAATATCTCAACAAGTCAATGGCCACCAAAGGATTTGTCTCAGTGCAAAAGATTAAGTTTAACAGTGCTGCTCAATATAATAATCACAATGAAAAAAGCTGAACTGGTGAAGAGAAACTCAAGCTCAATGATTTCCCCGACCCAAGAAACGTTGACGGAGCAGTCCCCTGTCGAAGCTCCACCTGTGTTCCTCCGAAAGCTGAAGTGGGCCGCTGTTGCGGCAGGATGTGATGTCCGTCTGAGGGTGTCTGTGGGAGGCAACCCAAGACCCACGCTGCATTGGTACCATAATGACGACCCTTTGATAAATGATCTTGAGGATTATGACGGATTGTGGATACGAGATTGTAAACAAGCTGATGGAGGCCTCTACACCTGTGTGGCTGTTAATCACCTGGGTGAAGCTAGAACCAGTGCTGTCCTTGCTGTGCTGGACCTTGGAGAAGGTAAGATGCACTGTATAATACGTGCCTGAGAGTAAATGCAAAACCTTGCAGAAGAAAAAATATTTCCCAAGTCTGCGTGAAGCCAGCTTGACTATGTGGTCTGAATGTTAATGAAAGATAAATTTCCCTTAATGTGATGAGGGAGGGGTTGCCCCTTCTTGACTCTCTTGGTATGATGTACAGCATGGCTTTATTTCTTTCAATGGTTCTGAATCTACACTATCAGAAAAAAAGTACCTTTAGGAGTACAACAGCTTATCACTGGGGCTATACCCTTAAAGGGAAAACATTGTACCTTATCTACTTGATCTAAATTGAACTTATTGGTACCTTAAAGTAACAACATGTACCATTAAGGTACTGATGTGAACCTGTAAATAAGTTACAAAGATGACCCTTTAAAGGGATAGTTCACCCAAAAATGAAAATTCTATCATTAATTACTCACCCTAATGTTGTTCCAAACCCATAAGACCTTCATTCTTCTTCGGAACACAAATGAACTTTGTTCTTGCATTGCTGTCTATGAAGGGTCAGAACGCACTCAGATTTAATCAAAATATCTTAATTTGTGTTCCAAAGATGAACGAAGGTCTTACGTGTTTGGAACGGCATGAAGGTGAGTAACTAATGACAGATTTTTAATTTTTGGGTGAATTATCCCTTTAAGGGTATGCCCCAGTGACAAGCTGTTGTATCCCTAAAGGTACAGTTTTAAACATTTTTGTCTAAGTGTGAAAACATGATTATCCTAACACTATAACAATAAGCTATAACAATATGTTTCCATTGGTAAAACAATGTACATTGGTTAATATGAATTAACAATGCTTCAGTATTATCATTCCTAATAGATTATCATTTCAACATTTACTAATTATAGTTTTAAAATCAGAAGTTGCATTTGTTAATAATATTAGTAAATGCACTGTGAACCACATGAACAAGCAAGGAATAATTATATTATTATTATACACATGATAACATTAAAAAATAATAAATACTTTTGAAAAAATATACTGCTCATTGTTAGTTTATGTTACCTATAAAATTATATTCATTTGATTATAAAAGTATAATCAAAATATAATATAAAGCTAATGTCTGGGACATAAAAGTGTTACACCAGAAAGGCTTCTTTCATTCTTTTTGAATAACAGGGGGTACACTGTGTAAACTTCAATGCTTCCAAAACAATTTAAGTCCCACTTCTGTGAGTTATTGCTGTTCTGAATCTAAAATACACAAGAGCTACACCAACTACAACACAGTCAATGGCTATGACTATGCAGGGTCATCAGCTGTCAGAACACTCAGCACCTCTCGCTCTTTCTCTTTTAGGCACTGTGTATCTCGTCCTGTTCTCTTCTCCCCACAGTCTCTCTCTCTCTGTCTATCTCTGGGTATTTACAGCCTGGAATGTGCCAGAGCTCCAGTTACAGATTTACTGTTACTCTGCCACACATCATTCTCAATTATAGATGTGGCTGTGTTGGACTGATGCCTGTGTTTTTATTTAGACCCACAATGATAACAAATCTGAACAAGAGTTAAGGAATTACAAAGCATCATTGATCCACTCAGAAATGTATTTCCCATTTAGTGAATGAAATGTAGCTAAATGAAAATCACAGTAGATAAGTTCCTGGCTTGACTAATAAAATAAATATTGACTTTATATGACAACTAATAAAGGGGATCAAATAATGTCTTAAAGTAGCTGGAGAAGCACACCTGGAGCAGGAGAAATAGGATAAACATAAGTTGTTTTTTTTCCATAATTGTGTTGTGAATTTTACAGATAGAGCAAAGAGCTATGCTTTAGAGCTGTGCCAAAAACTGAATATGCCTTCATGGTAATCTGATGGTATTAGTGAAAGGCAGAGTGTGAGAGAGGTCCTCTCAGGGTTTATTATACCACTCAAAATAGACCACTGGACTCTCCCAACAACATCAGTGAGTTCTGAGTTTAGTAAGAGAAACATACCCAGACAAAGGGCAAAATTTACCCACTTTTATGGGAAAAATATAAGCTTCATTTTTGTGGTCTGGGGATAATGAGAGCATCATACTGGAAGCCATGACAAGTCAAAAGTTGTCTGATCAGAGGAATGCTCAGAGTAATGTGAGGAGGGGAACTGTTGGTCCTAGGAAGGAGAAAGAACAAGGTGAGTTAGGTTTGTACAAGATTCTGAATTCAATCCTTTATCTGTGGCAGTGCCAATCCAGACGAGTGCTATATATTTGTTTTGCTCTGATTAGGTTTGTAAAACCAAAGTATGTTGATCAAGCTCGCAAACTGGTTCTATCACACAACATTTATGGGGAAAAAGCATGGTTTTGGCATATTTGATACCTTTTTTTTTTTTTTGGTTGTGTGGTTTGAGGGGTCAGTGGGGCACACAAGACCGATGTGTAAGTCAAAGTCTGCCTCCCTTGATCCCAAATCCTGCTTGTGACATTTAATTTGATAACTTCATCTTTGCATCTGCCTCTGTCAGTTCCAGGATTCTATACGTCAGTGGATAAATCCATGGAACAGGAACTAAATATTAAAGTTTACATGAATTGATGTGACAAGATCAGTTTTCTTCAATGTGCAGACATATTTAGATTAAACAGGAAGTTATGATGAGACTTATCAAAGAGCTCATCCTTTTTTTAGTTTGTCACAGCCCAACAAAGCAGGACTTGACAGTTTGTGATAGATACAGTTGAGATTAAACTTTTTTTTTAAAAATACAAATACAGTATTTTGTATTTTGAAAATACAAAAAATACATTTGAAAACTGGCCATCCAGCGAAGTACTACTATTAAGGCTTGGTCGCACCAAGAATGATAATTATAAAGATAACTTTATTAGTGTATCCTAAACATGTGCTGCAGTTATGTGACCTCTGTCACTGTAAATACTCGAGCTCTATAACACATGATTGATTTTGATTGGCTGTCAATGTTTTTATCATTCATCAGTAGGATAAAATTGCTCTGAAAGTGATTTGAACAATATCATGTTTTTTTGTGCCATTATTGTTATAGTTGTGGTGTGGACTCTGCTATTCGTTTAGATTTAAACAATAAACTAAACTAATATGGTTTAAAATGCATTATTTCAGCGCGATAAACATGATAATCAGAACCAAAACAGATGTTTTTTTTAGCAGGTCCGAGCTGTAATGGTGCAGCTCTATTCTGGAAAAGGGGGCGGGGAGCAGCAGCTCATTTGCATTTAAAGAGACAGGCCCGAAAAACAGCATGTTTCTGCTTTCACTCAAAATAGGCATTTTCAAAATGATATAAGGGCCTTTCGCACTCTTTAGTTCCAGAACTAAATGTACACTACTAAAGTACTGGGACGATTTTGCGCGAACTATTTCCCAGTACCATTTAAAGGGTTGCAGTCGCACCTGGGGAAAGCAGTTGCTGCTGTGACAGGTATGCTTTATCACCTCATTTTGAACTGCATATAGAACTACAATAACTATTTTAAGCATTTTGTATGTTTTATACACAGCAAAATTATTATGTAATTATTATGCATTTGACAGAAAATCCAGAATTGTCAAGCTGACCATGTAAATGGTGCTGTGAAGGTTTATATGGTTGTCAACGAATTGGATATTTTACTCAAAATTAGATAACTTCAAAAGATTTTGGCTTTAATAAAAATTTCCCCAAGAGACCTGGGGTCCACCATGATTTTTTTTCCGGCAGCAGAGCTCCTGAATGCGACAAGCTCGTAATAAGAACTTCAAAAGTTGGAAGTAGGAAATTTCTGCACATGAAGGTAGCATTATTCCTTGTTTCCTTACAGGAATCATGAAAATTCACTCCAAATCTAGATGGACTCGTACAGCTGCAGCTCACATGAAAGTGGCATGTCTGAACTAGTTGACACAGGAAATCAACTGCGTAATAAAGAGGTTGACTGACAAAAAGTATTTTATGTGTTTTGAAAATACAAAAAAAAATAAAAATTAAATACATTTATCAGAAATACTGCACATCCCTTAGTGTGAGGGTGGGTTTTTATTTACCTTTCGTGTTATAGTGTATAGGTGTATATATGTGTATATTTTTTGTAAACGTGTATCTTGAAATGTTTATGTTCCAGTTTGATGTTTCTTTGACACTGGTATTTTGGTATTTTTTCACTACATTTTTGCATCATCACTTGTGACTTTTGTATATATTTTCAGTTCTGTCAATTATGTTCACCTTGCACAACAGCGCTGTTGTAGGTACAGCCATTCTGTATGTGTGTGTGTGTATATATATATATATATATATATATATATATATATATAGTTTGTTTTATTGTGGCCACAAATTAAAAATATATGAACCCTCGTTTTAATTAAAGGGTCCCCCTCGGTGGGCCCCCAATCAGCCCAGGCCCATATGCACTTGCATACCCAGACGCTACACCCGTGGTCATACATAACGCACACATGTATCCATTATTTTAATGGGCAAACAAACTGTTTCTCGATGCATACTTCAGTTTATTCATGTAGTTGTCAAAATGAATGTACAGTGAGTGTTTTATAATGGATGCTCACTGAAGAAGCGTGTTTTGGAGAAGTTTGTGAGGATCAGTGGTGTTTATGTACATATGGGCATCAGATGCTCCAAACACAGACACAATCGCTTGTTCTGACAGAGGAATTGTTCACTGATGACGTCGACCCACCTTCAGATCGCTGAGTTTCCACACAATCAGAATGTTTTCATTTTTCATTTGTATTTTGGTGTGTTTAGTGATTCTGAATGGATCTGTATAGTAGTTTATGTGCAGTCCTTTGGCATCTCTCTGTGGTGGAAAGTTGACTTGTGGTTATTTGTTAAAGTTATGGTATAATTGAGCTTTACATACCTAAGTAGTAAAGAATATCTGCAGTGACATTTTTGCAAAGTATGTTTGCAAAAAAAAGAAGAATGAATCTTTAAATTTGTCTTGAATTTGTTTTAGTAAAAAATTATTATATGGAACTGAAA